TTTAATATTTAAACAGTATTTTTAATTTCAAATTTAGCAGGTGAAACATGACATGAAGTTAAGATAAAAAAAAAAATAATTATTTTTTATTGTGTAATTAAAATAATATATATATATATATATCAACCTAATTGGCTTTGAAAGGTGTATCATCGGGCTCTTGTCCTGGGTTCTATCCCTTTCCCAGTCATTGCTTCTAAAAAACATTCACTTAAATAACAGTTTTACACAAAATCAACCTTAATTAAGGTTTGGCTTGAGATTGTTGTGCGATGTTGGTGTCCCTTTACCATGCTCAGCTGCTACTAAAAGTTAGATTAAGACAAATATTAGTATTTAATTTAATAATATTACTATTCAAAAAATAGTTGTATAACTGTGTAATTACAAAATTAAGAATTATTTTTTAATTTAAAATCATAAAAAAGTATTAGATTGAATAATCATAACCCTGTAATAAATAATACTCCTATGAAGGGATTAGTTCTCAAGATTATGGTTGTTGCATTAACAAAACATAAAGACACCTAAAGAAATTTTGGGACCATTGAAAAACCTATTAACCTAAATGTTGAAAAAAATCCGATGAGGCGGACGTCAGGAATTTATATGGTAGACATGAACTCAAAGAGTCAAAGGTTTTAAAATAGACAGACCTATGACTACATAAATAAATATTAAAGTTATATAAAATATTATCCTCATATTTAATTTAATTAATTTATAATTAATTATAATATATCAAAAGATCATCTTATAATTTTTTTTTAACATTGAAGAATTTGAAAAATAAAAATATTTTTTCAAGTAGTCAAATATTTAAAATTTAGAAACAAACCACGTGATCAAAATATCCAATTCTATCATCATACAAATTAATTTAAAACTATTTGATAATAAATATAATTATTTTATCCAATAATTCTACCAATCAAATTAAATATAATATTTTTGTGACTTATTAATTATTTTTGCCCTTGAAAATTATTAGATTCCTTTGTACCCCTGGCGGCCAGGAAAGCGGACATCGCTGACCATACGATTTAATTGTGTCATCATTCTTTCTACACGCAAGATTTTTTTTATTTTTTATTTTATTTTTTAAAAATTATAAATAAATAACTAATATAATGAACTTGAACAACTAAACGAACTGTATTTTTTAAGGAGTGTAGCCAAGGTCATTCACCTCATTCGCTAGTATAAAAATGATTTTTGATTCCGACACTGACAAGAGCGAAGACTGCCTCCACAAATGCCATTCATCCTCTCATTCTTCTTCCTCTTGGTCCCCTATTTCTCCTTGCCTTTCTTCCACCAAAAACTCTCTCAATCCACGCAGCATAAATTTCCGCATCGAAAACAAAATAAAATTGATGGTTGCTGCTACAATTACTCCAAACCCATGTTCAATTATCACAAATTTTTGGTCTATTGGTATCACTGAATCTAAACCAATGCCCTCTGTTTGGGTAGCTTCGCGATCCAACACTATTGATATCTTTAGCTGCTCTCACACCTGAAATTCTCGATGATGTTTTCTTGGGAAAAACATTCTAACGCTCAAGTCAGCAATATTCAATATTCTAGAGGTAGATGCTCTCAAAGAGTAATTGCAGAGAGAGAGGCATAGAAGTTAATCCCTTTCATCGGAGGTAGTTGGGGGGTATTTATAACCCCAAATGCTGACATGCGTCTGAACATGTAAGCATCCCATTGGCCCACATGGGTACACTTGTACTTGCTGTACTGGCACTCCCTCACTTTGGGCCAATGGGCGGCAGTCTAGGCCCATTATGTACAGTCTAGGTTGAATGTTGGGCCTATTCCAACATTACTCCCCCCTCAGTGTTCGGTTGATGAACTGAGTTAAACGTGCCTATGGTCCAACATTCGAGCTGGTGAATAGGATCGAGGGCCTTTGTAGCTCCTGACTGACCTTGTTAATGGTCGATCTGAAGGGTGGCACTGGGTACACACCTTAATGGGAAGGTTCGATCAGATGGCAGTTGTGCGATCTGTGCTTCAGGTGACTCCACAAGGTTTATACGAGTAAGATGAGCTCATAAGCCTGAATGTGTATAGGCGACCTGATATCCATAACCTCGCTAGCATGAACTCGGTATACCAGCGAGCTGAAGAGGCTCGTAAAAGGTAAGCTCACTTAGTGAATAGCCATGTTAAACGATGGTGTATCCTGGTAGGATATGTGCTTAAATTTAAAGTGTTACTCGCTATTTTAATGAACTCGTCTACATTGACACAAGCGTGAGCGAACACGTGACGACTTGAATCATTATTATTGTTGAAGGTCTTGAAGTAACTTAGTGGAGTCATCACGCGAACATGGGGACAAGCTGAGATGAAGTGATATCAACCACAGGATGATTTGAGATCTCTAAATAAACATGGTGACGCAACCGAGCTACAATAAATGACTTCAACCCGTCGAAGCAAAGTGAATCTCGTTTGTGCAACGAGGTTAAATCAAGCGATCTCAAACATTTTATGATCTGAGATCTCTCACGAGATGTCATTCTTGTGACGATTTTATAAATGTGGTCATTGTGACGAGCTGGCATGGACAGGACAAGGAGCATATCGACCTGTCACGATATGAATCTTGGGATTTTTTTTTTTTTTGAATGAATCAAATCTCTGAGGAGATACGATTGATATCCTGTGTCTCTCTGCCTTCCCCGCCATAAATGCTGGCTCAGCATTTGAGGGGACATGATAGCTAAAGCCGGCAGACGTTATACGAAAAGGGTTAAATGTCTGCCACGTGTGGGATGCTAATTGGCGCGTCAGAGACACGCGTACGGCAATTAACACTGCAATTGCTATTTCAGAAAATGGAAAAGGAAGTGGTTATACCCTTTTTTGTTTCATTCTTTGTTTGAACTTGTTGATATTCTCTGTAGCGAAGCGTTTGTAGCTTAAAGAACATAACACTAGATCGTAAACACAGAAATGTAGACATCAATCTCAAGTAAAAATGGACTTCTTTAGAGAACTTAGAGAGCTGCGAGGTAACAAGGGTAGAGAAAAAGAAGAGGATGGGGTTATTTCTGCAAAGCCCATCACGATGATAGTGCCGCCGGCCCTGCAAGACTTGCCGGAAAGGATAATGCCTGAAAGCAGTGCCGGTTCAAGTGCCAAAGACGACTGTGGCGACCACCACGCTTCACCATCCAACAATTCATCCTCTGAACAGACACCTAGTCACGGGGAAGACACGAGGGATGTTGTTGGCAATGCGCCAGATCTGATCGTGGTTGGGGAATGGTAAGGTAGGATAATCACGGGTAGGTTGAGCAACCTTCGTAAGGCGCCTAAAGACCTACCTTCTGGATTTAGGTTCAGGGCAGCGCTTCATCACGAAGTGGCAGACAACGCGCCCTCAATAAGCGGGTATAAGAAACTGGAGGAGATGGTGAGGTCGTACCAGATCCCCAAAACAATACTGCTCTGAGCTGACACACAGAACGAGAGGGCTTGCACAGTGTCACAGACGGGCTGGATACCAGCATACGTGGATCACTTTGACGCCAGCCTGCGTTTTCCCCTACCCTGCCAAATATTTGATATTTTAGCGGATTACGAGTTGGCTCTGACGCAGCATAAGGTTCATCATAGGTTTTATGCTGCTGTGTGAGAGGTTGGAGATACCTGCCAAGGCGATAGTGTTCAGGTCGCTATTCCAATGTCGGCTGTGTCCCAACTCCAGAGGTGCAAAGTGGTACTACCTCTCTGGGAGGGAAAAGAACCAGCTCTTCAAGGATGTTAGGAATAAAGTGGCGAGGTGGAAGAGGCAGCTCGTTTTTGTTCGTGATATGCGAACCGAAAGGATAAATAACGACCTCGTTGCCCAGCTTTTTGAGTGGCGTGTACCGAACACACATGCAAACTACCCCCAACTGTTGCCTCGGGACACGAATATGAAGAATTAGCTGCTAGACTACGCGAGGGGGGAGAAATTAGTATACTTAGAAGCCTTGGTTACCTTGGAGCAGCTCGCCATGTTTGGGTTTGTCAACGTGGCAAACCAATTCACTGAAGGTATAATTTTATCATATACTACGAATTCTAGCCGATCTGAGTCTTATTATACTTGTTTGTGCAGAGGAAATGAGCAACATACTTGAGAGGCAACGCCGACGAGCCTAGAACTCGCGAGGTCGTACAGTGGGCTCTGGTTTGTAGAGACAAACGCGGTTTGATGAGTGGCCGCCACCAGCACCGCAATCTCGTAGCTCGTCACATCGCGGATCCAGTTCGGCGTCCAGGCCCTGCACCGAGCACAGGTTGAAGCCTTGGCCCCCAGTGCACGTAGGCGTCCTCGTGAGGATACGGACAGTGAAGATGAGATCCCCCTCACTAGGTGCAGAATGAGTTGGGGGCTCAGCCTGCTTAGGCGGTTCAATCTGCAACGGTGCACTCGCCGAATGTGCCGTCTACCACGGCACGTGCACTAGCTAAGCCGCGCTTGCGTCAACTTCGGTATTGGCGCCCAGGATTACATATCCTGAGGGCTTCAGCTACGTGAAGACTGATTGCCAGCCCACCATGGTGCAGGGCATGCAAAGTTTTGTGCCTCCCGTGGATCGGCAGCGGGCCAAGAGCTACGTACAGCAACATGGTGGGCAAGTGGTCATGATCAAACTGATGGATGTAAGTATTTCTCCGCACTTGCATGATTATTTTGCTATTTAACATGAGAGACTAACAGTTAATGCTGTCCAGCAGGCGTTTAGCTATGCGGTCGTTCTGTTTGAGAGCGAACAGGGAGCTCGTGCACAGAATAGCGAGCTCAGTGGCAACTGCAAACAGCTGGCCACTAAGAAGGCGAGTTTAGTGGACGACGTCAATCGTCTGCAAGGCTCTGAAATGGCCACCCGAGCTGCATCGACCGAGAGTCGAGCAGAGGAGCTGGCGAGCAGGAATAATGAGCTCAAGGAAGAGTTGGAGAGGGTCCGTGCTGAGAAGGAAAGCGAGATTCAGGCAACTAAGGATGAGGCCGCCTGCCTTGAGGAATTGGCCAAGAAAGCTAAAGCCGAGAGGAACAATGCTTTGAACGAGTTGAGCTCCTTCAAGCAGCAAGTCACCAAGGCTGCTCAGAACCTTACTCAGGTGAAAGATGCTTCGAACAAAGCAAAGAAATCTCATGAGCGCTCTGTAAGCATCGCTTGCGCTCAAGGGGCTGAATGGCTAGTCAGCTCGGCCGTGTTCCAAGACGCTGTGGCGGTGGCGTCTGCGAACATTACCACGAAAATCTACAACGAGATCCGTGGGAAGGAGCTGCAACATTGTCCTGACTTCCCGATACGTGAGCTGGCGTTCATTAATGGGGAAGATCTTGACGAGGAGGGTAAGAGCCTTGCTCCCCTTGCTGACACAACTGTGCGGTTGAGATGGGAGCTCAACGAGGAGGGAGTACCCGTTTGGCCCCCCTCAGTCCTAGAAGAAGGGGAGGATCTAGAGGGCCTACCCTCGTTTGACTCATGGGCTGAAGGGGCTCCTGTGGCTAAACCAGAGCTGTCGAGCACTCCCTCGAGCTCTCAGCCCACCGTTGTGCCATCAGGGTCTCCCGTTACTGCACCAGCTGGCCCTCCTTCAGCTCAGTCCTTTCCAGCTTGTGCCTCGGGCCCTCCCGCTGACGTGTCCATGCCCGTCGATCTGACGGATGATTAGCTATAGGATTATACTTTGTCTTTTTCTTTTGTGTTTGTTGTTTTTTCCTTGAACAACTTTATCATGATCTCTTGTATTAAAATTTTGTAGCTTTTGAACAGAAATAGAAAGTTGGAGATTTTATTGAACTTGTTCCTTTTTATTGCATTGTGTGTGTACTTTACATTTTCTCGAGCATATTTGTCACTAACATGTACATTAACTGTAATATCTTCTGAGATTGTGTACATTCCAAGTGAATGGTAACTGGCATCCTTGCATGTTTGCTAACACATAAGATCCAGGTCGCTTAACTTGAACAACCATATACGGACTTTCCCAATTAGGAGCGAGCTTGCCCATGTGCGAATAAGCATTGGTTAATCTAGCTTTGCGTAAAACCAAATCGCCAACTTGAAGTTTTTCGATCTCGGACTCTCTTATTATAAAATCTAGCAACACAACTTTGATATGCCATGTTTTTTATTCGAGACATCTCCCTAACCTCTTTTACAAGGTCTAGGTTCTCTCTTAAAAGTTGCTCATTATTAGGATCATTGTGCCGATTTGATCTATAGGATGGCAATTCGACCTCTACAGGGATAACAACCTCAGCTCCATAGGCGAGGTTGAATGGGGTTTCGCCTGTAGCCAAGCTGGGTGTAGTGCAACATGACCAAAGCACTTTATTGAGCTCGTGAACCCAATTAGAGTGTGCGACTAAAACACAAGCCTTGAGGCATCGCAGGATGATTTTATTGGCAGACTCGGCTTGCCCATTAGACTGTGGAGTATATACAGACGCCAATGCGAGCTCAATGCCATAGTCATTGCAGAACGACCTGAGTGCTGCGATTCGGAATTGTGGACCATTGTCAACAATGATCCGTTTAAGTATGCCAAACCTGCACACAGATGACCGAGCTAAGCCACAAGTTACGTTTGTATATAATGTACAAATGGCTAAAGCCACCCAAGAGTACCTACATAATATTGAGTTAAACAGGAATTCCTTTATTTTCTTATCTGTTGTCGTGGATAATGGTTTGGATTCTATCCATTTGGTGAAGTAATCCACTGCGACAACTAGGTATGTGCAACCTCCTTTGCCTTTGACAAAAGGCTTGAGTAGATCGGCTCCCCACTGAGCGAAAGGCCAAGGTGATGAGAGTGATGATAGTATTTCTCTTGCTTCAATGGAAACATTTATGTTTAGTTTATAGACAAACATGAAGTTTTCACGAACTTTAGAACAAGCCTAGATACCTGACATGTGAATGTCATCAGCATTGAACTAGCAGGTTGGGCACTTTTTTACATAACTCTATGCGTCCTCGACCATAGTAAGCCAGTAATACCCATGTCTCAGGAGTTTCTGAGTCAATGTTTTACCACCTATATGTGTGCCACGTACTCCTTTATAAACTTCCCTTACAGCGTAGTTAGCTTCATAAGGAGTAAGGCAACATAGCAGGGGCATTGAGGCTGCTCGCTTGTAGAGCTAATTATCTATCAAGGTGAAGTGTGCTGCCTTGCGTTTAAACAACTTTGAGGTAGAAGGGTCTTCAGGCAGCTCGCCGCATCGCAAATACTCAATGAGGGGTGTAGTCCAGCTTGGCGAACAGGGATCTGTGCTTAGCAATTGACACTCAATTGTGAAGTCGGTGTAGCTTGATGCGTCAAGTACCTCCACAATTGTTGATCTCTGAAGATTGATATCTTGCGAGGAAGCTAATTTTCATAGCTCGTCAGCTCGTTGGTTATCTGCTCTAGGTATCTTGTCGATCTGGAAAGAGATAAATCCTGATTTCAATATGTTAAATATAGAAGCATAACGACCAAGATAAGGATCCCTGATTTCGCAGCTCCCGTTCACTTGGCCCACAACGAGCTAAGAATCGTTGAAAATCCTTATGCGATGAACTTTCAACTCGAACGCTAGCTTCAAACCATAAATGAGGGCTTCATACTCTGCAGCATTATTTGTTGTTTGAAACTTGAACCTTAATGCGTGCTTGGATTTAAAGCCATCTGGGCC